GGGGTGGGGATTGTTGGGTTAGTTATTAAGAAGTGTATGTAAGAAGGAACAAAACAGGACAACTTATTAACTGCCACTCAACTGGATCCACTGCTTCTGACGTTATACAGCACGGGGTACGTCTAATCAGGCCCCTGGGAACATTTACATACTTTGCAGATCACGATGGCACTGAGAGAAATCACATTTTGTCGGCACAGAGGGCATTTGAAGGGGGTTGCGCGGGAGTGGGGGGGGGGAGGTGGTCAAATGAAAGAATTTACAACAACGTGGCATCATTATGACATCATTGTTGTTCGTCAGTCAACATCGACTTGGACCATCCAGTCATCGGGTTTGGGCGGGGGGGGGGAGGGTGGGTTACGGTGAGTTCGTAGGTGGCTTGTTAGTCCAATCCGTGCTCGGAAATATCTCTGGCACCGCGGGCAAGGGATAGCTGCTGTAGTTGGTGATCTAATGTTGCTCTTTCGGGCTAGCATGCTTGTCTTAGCTGTGGTTTTCCTACTGGCTTTATGAGATTGAGCCCCCCCCCCTCCCTTCTTGACAGCTGATCTCCACCTGGCTCTGTCCTGGGCTCTCTGCACCCATTCAGTAGGGCTGATGCTGAAGGTTTTTAGTGCCACTTTCAGTGAGTCTTTGTAACGCTTTTTTTTTTCTTTACCTCCTTGGGAGTGCTTGCCTATCGTGAGTTCTCCGAAGAATATCTGTTTTGGGAGCCGGTGGTCTTCCATACGGGCTACGTGTCCCATCCAACGGTGCTGAGACTGCACCAGGGTGGTGAAGATACTAGGTAGGTTCGCTCTAGCGAGGACCTCTGTGTCAGGGACTTTGTCTTGCCCCCTGATGCCGAGGCGTTTCCTGAGGCAGGTTGTTAGAACATGCTTCAGTTCCTTGGCGTGACGCTGGTAGACTGTCCACGTTTTACATCCGTAGAGAGCAATGTCCAACAGACTGCTGCACTATAGACCTTGAGCTTCGTTTCTCTTCTGATACCTCTCCTCTCCCAAATAGTGCTGCGGAGTCTGCCATATATGGTACCAGCTTTTGCGAGTCTGGCATTCATTTCGTCATCCATGACGACTGATCTGGGGAGGGTACTGCCCTCAAGTAAGTAAATTTATCCACTGCTTTAAGACGCTGTCCGCTGATGATGTTGTTGGGTTCAACGTATGGCATACTGGGAGCTGGCTGATACATCACCTCAGTCTTCTTTGTGTTGATTGTGAGGTCAAAGTTATTGCAGGCCTTGGAGAAGACAATCAATGTTGTGTTGCATGACGGCTTCTGAGACAGTGTTGAGGGCACAATCGTCAGCAAACAGAAGCTCGTTGATGGTGTTATGTTTGACCTTGGTTTTAGCTTGAAGACTCCTAAGGTTGAAGACTGATCCATCGGTGCGAAAACGTATTGGCAAGCCCGTGGTGGAGACACCATGCACCATACACATCAAAAAATGAACATAATTTAAAAAACAAGCCACATG